GCATAAACACGCGAGCCCGAACGCTGCGTGGGAGAGAAGGGGCCGAGCAGGAGTGCGGCGGGCCCGGCTGCGCGCTGGCGCCTGGCCCGGTTTTCCTTCAGTCCGCAGCAGGCCCGGACTGGCAGCTCCTCGCCCTCCTGAGCGGGGCCCCAGGCACGCGAGGTCCGGTCTGCTTTTGTTTTCAATAAAAATAGCAAAATGCCCCGTGCTGTTTACTCGCAGAAACTAACAGTGGAAGCTTGTTTGTGCAAAGTCACCATCCTCCATGGAGGCTTTTTTTATTGCTTTTAACAGTGAGAGATGGCTGTATTGATAGCCAGAAGTGCTGAGGGTTTGGGTTTTTTTCCTTCATGCTACCTACAATTAAATGGAGTGGGACTGTGAATCACTCCCCATCAAAGTAAAGCAGGGCTGCATTAGGTTAAGGGAGCATTAAGATATGTTCTGCTCGTTGACTCGTGTATTTCTGTCTAATATGCCTGTTTTTGTGTTCAAAGGAAAAATCTCAGGATTGCATGTATCTCCAATACTGTAAAGTGTGCCAGGCTTACAAGGCACCACGTTCACACCACTGTCGAAAATGTAACAGGTAGTGTCTCTGTTTGGAACTACTTTATATCCGTACATAAAGCGGCTTTTAATCTGTTGTTAACTTGGGGGTTTTAATGGGAGAGGAAGGTGCAGGAAGATGTTGAGTGAACTGATGTGCCTTTGGGGTCAGTTCAGAAAGTTTGGGCCATGTTATATTTTGATCTTCCAACAGGCTTGTGAGCTAAAGGATGTTTTATTATAAAAAGCTGCACTTGAATCTAGCATAGCTTGAAAAAAAGCCACTTTAGCAGTCTGCAGTCCTGATCGTGGTTGACTGGGCAGGATTATCCCATCTAAAGGAATATGCAACATCAAAAGGGTGTAGTAACATAAACATTCGTTTATTGTCTCTATAAATACAAGCTCCACAGTTGTTCTTTTGGGAAGTAGAGAGTGAAACTGTAGACCAGTGATGTAATTTAGCTGCATCATCCTGAGATTTTAAATTAGACTCCTTCCATTGATGAGTAATCTGTTTCCTTTTTACATGGTTCTAAGGAGTTATCATTGAAAATGATTGAAAATCATTGAAAATGATAACAGATTGTAATGATTCTCTTTGTAATAGCAAGTTCTTTTAGTAATTTACTATTTGAAAGTTAAAATGGAGGAAGTTGTAGCACAACTCCCTAAAATCGATTATTGGAATAATTTGAAGTTTCTGCCTTCTGAGATGTAGCCAATATGCATTCCTAGCCTGTTGCAGTTCTGTAAAATAGTAACTTAAACTGCTGCAGAAAATCCTTTATGCTATGGCAAGTTTCAGTGTGTGAAATCACACTTTCTTTTTTCTGTAAGTCTTACATCCACTTTCTGCAAGTAGTCCTCAATAGATTTGATGTTTCCATTAGTTTCTTTAGTCCTTTTCATTTATGAAAATCATTGAAAATGATAAGAGATTGTAATGATGCTCTTTGTAATAGCAAGTTCTTTTAGTAATTTACTATTTGAAAGTTAAAATCCATAATGGGAATAATTTGAAGTTTCTGCCTTCTCAGCTGTAGCCAGTATGCATTCCTAGCCTGTTGCAGTTCAGTAAAATAGTAACTCAAACTGCTGCAGAAAATCCTTTATGCTATGACAGTGTGTGAAATCACAATTTTTTTTTCTGTAAGTCTTACATTCTCTTTCTGCAAGTAGCCCTCAATAGATTTGATGTTTCCATTAGTTTCTTTAGTCCTTTTCATTTAGCTAAATTAGATGCAATTAGAACTCAGGAGATAAAGTACAGGAGAGCCTAATCTCATTTACCTGGGAGGTGAATAAGGAGATCTCCAGCAACATAGTAACAGTTACACCTTCGTATTCTTCTGATGCAGCTTTGGACATAACCAAATACTGTAGCTACACAATGAGAAGCAAGGATTCAGAAAGATGAATTTTTTCATCATGGCTATTTCTTGTTATGATCTTGGGTTATATAATGGAGATATTCTCATTTAATGATTCTAGGATCTTTAAAGACAGTTCAGATAAGTTTAAATAAATGAACAACCATAGCATTGTAAATAGTGAAATGTCCTTTCCTTTGAGCTTTTTGAAAAACTTCATCAATGTCCTTGATGTGAATCAATGTTTGTTATTCCCAGGTGTGTCATGAAGATGGATCACCATTGTCCTTGGATCAACAACTGTTGTGGATACCAGAATCATGCATCTTTCACTCTCTTCCTCCTGTTAGCTCCACTGGGATGCATTCATGCCTCTTTCGTTTTTGTTATGACAATGTACACTCAGCTTTATAACAGAGTAAGGAAACAGTTAAATGCTTGAAATATTCCTTAAGCCAGATGAGTAATTTCTTTTTGGAAATAGAGAGTGATTTTCTTCCCGGGAAGGAAGCAAGTAGAATTATTTCCTGTTGTTTCAACATGTGCTCTCAGCTCTACTCTCCACAATTTGAGAAGCCTGTTCGTTAATTGGAGAAGGTCTCAGAAAAAGATTTTTTTTCATTTTCTTTTTTCCTGTTGCTTGTCATAATCACTGGGAGGTTTCCTAGAACTTGGCATTAACTGAAGACAGTTTTTGGGTAGCACTTTTACAGAGACATGAAATCTTTTCCTGTGTTTTTGCTTCATACAAGCTGGCCACTGTTTATTTCTGGCACACAAGGTGGATTCTATTTATTTCCTTTCCCCTGCCACATATTTAGAATTGTACTGTGCACACAATTTCCGTATGAAAGAACTGAAAGCTTTTGCTAATGCGCCATGATGTAGATTTTGCGGCATATTTTAGGTCTAGCTTGTGGTAAAGGTATGCAAGAAAATGATTTTGATTAAGTCTTTATCTAGAAAAGACCTACATCTAGCAAATAATGTGTTTCTGAAGAGGAACACTTTTCTGAGTGTATTTTTTCTGTAACTATTCCACTTAAACTATAAATCAGAGGTCAGGCACTACCTTCAGAGTCCTGTTTCTTATTGGTAATTTATTTTGTTTCAGTAACTGAAATATTCCAAAGCTGAATGATTATATTTTCCTTTCATAGATATCTTTTGGGTGGAGTTCTGTTAAAATTGACATGAGTGCAGCCAAAAGAGACCCTCGACCTATTATTCCCTTTGGACTGTCTGCATTTGCTGCATCTTTATTTGCCTTAGGACTGGCATTAGGAACAACTATTGCCGTTGGTATGTTGTTCATTATCCAGGTAAGTGTCTGGATTCCTTTACAAAGAAGAGAAAAGCTATAGGTTGTGTTTAATGTATTATTAATAACAGCTGTGGAGCAGGAACAGAATTCAGAATTGAGCTGGGATCAGTTGTTTAGAGTTTATGTTGCTATGTAATTTTACCAGTTTTTCATCCCCCTTTCTCCTACTTTCACCATTGTTACCGTAATTGTTTTTTTCTGGGATAACTTGGAGCAGAAATTCTAACAGACAGAGAAAATGAGATAGACTCTTGTTCTAATCAATTCTCCAATAAATTCTGTTTGGAGAAAAGCAAATCACTCACTTTCTCTGGACTTCAATATCCCTGCCCCTGGAAAAGAGGAATAATTCAATATTTGAAATGCCCCCACGTTTCAAATGTGAGAGATATTTGTGAGGAAATAAAAATATAAATTTTAAGCCTAAACTGAAATATTGTGTGATAATTTATCATACGTGTACAGTTCTAAAGGGTGATGTCAGCATATATCTGTGCTGTCTTAATTTTGAATATTATGTTTTAATTAAGCATATAACAGTTGCTTCAAAGCAGCTGAAAAAAGTACTTTGTTAAATGAAACTTTGTTTGCCTAGCTGATGGGTTGATGTGGAGAGTTAATGCTATTGTCATCCAACACTTATTCTAGATGAAAGTCATCTTGACAAATAAAACTTCAATCGAATCCTGGATTGAAGAAAAGGTAAGCTTTCACTACAGTGTTTCTGCACCATATTGTTTCAAGGCTAGCCTCAAAATTTATGAACTATTTATTTTGCCTGTCTGGATTTAAGCCGATGTTATTTCACTATCACTTCAATTCACTGTTGACATAGGACCTACAACCAGCTTGCTGGTTGCAGTCTCTGAATTTTACTGAAATAAACAAGAAAACTTTATCCATTTAAAGAATTTCTCTTCTATGTTTATTGTTTGTGGCATTAAGGATGATCCTAATAAATATATCTTACATAAATATTTGCTTATCTACTTGGAATATGTGGCATTTTTAGCATGCTCATATATTTAATTTTCCAGTTCTAGATACCATATTTTGGCTCAGAGTTTTTCATGTTTCATATTCTTCTGTCTGATTAAACTTGGAAGGATGTTCCATTTTGAAGCCTTATAAAACAATGTGATATGTAGTATTTTCTCCTTTAAATTTCTCCTTAAAAATCTATATTCCTTCAGAGGTTTCACAAGCAATATGGCAAAGCAGCAGAAGCTAAGTTTAGAGGAAGCAAAAGATATGGAATCGTGTGTGGGATTTTTTTTTTAAGTGCAAAACATAGATTATTAGTATGTCCCCTTGAAGATTGAAAAGGACACAATACATAAATGTTTACTAAAAACTACCCTATTGGAACAAATGAATCCTCTTCCTTGACTGCTCCACTAGATGTCACTGGTACGAAATGAATGAGAAGTTTGTGTGGCAACATAGAAGCAAGTAGAAGATTCAGAGTGTTCCTATGTACAGCAGTCCTTGAAGGGGAATAGACCCTACTGATGATAAACATTCCCCATCCATAATCAAAGAACTCTGAGTTGTGGAAGCCTTTGTACATAATCTTGAGAAATAGTCAGGCATCAGCCTTTCTAAACACCATAAAATTAAGGTAGCGCTCAGAGCAAACTGGTCAGTAGTATACCTGGTGTCTCACTAGAATGAACAAACAACAAAATCCAACAGAACCAAAAATAACAGTGTGTGTGGAGCACATAAAACCAGGCATGCGTCTGAATGCGATTGATGCTAGATAGTTTTAAAAGCCTGAGTTAGGATGGAAGGAGTAGACTGCTCTTGCAGAAAAATGTTTGCCTCCTTAGGGACTCCTGCAGTGCCTCCAACCCTTGGCATTCCAAACATTTGCTGTTCAGTAGGATATGTTGAAGGATATATTTGGCGAACTATATTTCTTTACTATTCTTAGGCCAAAGACAGAATCCAATACTACCAAACGGGTGAGATCTTTATTTTTCCTTATGACACGGGAAGTAAATGGAAGAACTTCAAGCAAGTGTTTACATGGTCTGGGGTTCCCGAGGGAGATGGCCTGGACTGGCCGGTGAGAGAAGGCTGTCATCAGTACAGTCTGACGGTAACTGTCCCCCAAGGATATCTCAAGTTATTCCTCCCCACTATCCAGTTGTCTCTCTGTCTTTGCAGAAATATGCCTAGTTTTTAAATAACTCAAAATAAGCTTGGCTAGTAGCACATATATATCAGAAGAAGGAATTCTGACATTTTTTTTTCTTTTTGGATAGGCCATGAATGTATGTTTTTGTGTGTGCTTTTAAAGGCTGAATATGTTCCCCTATGTTTGCTTAGTGGTTTCAATGCCCGCTTTCATTTCATGTTGAGTGCTCAAGTGTTCTTAAGCAAAACACTGACTAAATTCCTGTTTATTATATTTGTAGATAGAGCAACTGAAACAGAAAGCAGACAAGCGAGTAAGAAGTGTAAGTGTTTGATTTAGTGACCTAAAATGTTACTTTGAAATTTTTATATAAATAAATATAAGTAACTATTGATATATTTTTTTCTTGTCATAGCTATAAATCTAACAATGAAGTAAGGACTCTTTTTCCACAAAGCATGCTGCAGTCCCTTTTTAATTAAAAACTTAATATGTAGTTTCTTTGTATTTGCTTCTTGTTTTCCAGATGATAAGAAATGTGATAATAATGGAATGGAGAGTAGATTAGAAGAGAAATAAAGATGACTGTGCTTCATTTTTAAAGAGTTGAGAATTTAGGGTCCCCTTATGAAGTTGCCGTTATGCCCAGATATAATGGTACACTTAAACTGATTTTGGTATGAAACTGCCAGCAGGTTTGTAGCTCAGTGCACTAACATGTTGCCATGTTCTGTTCCAACTGGTAGGTGCGGTATCGAGCAGTAGAAGACTACAGTGGTGTCTGCTGCCCTGTGACGAAAGGTGTTAAAACATTCTTCACAACACCGTGCACTGAAGAACCTAGAATTGCCCTGAGTAAAGGGGATCTGATTTTAGCCACAAGAGGCTTAAAGTTAGTGATTCCGCACACCTTTATGTTTGGTTAACAGAAATATTGAGATCAGTTCTGGCATCTAATTACCTATTGCACTTTCTTCTTCAGACACTGGATGTATGGGGAGAAGATTCTCGACTCAGCTGCTGATGGTATGAAGCAGATCCTTTCATTTATTCTGTTGAAAATTACAAGCAAATTAGCTATAGTTGCCTTTTGATAGAAATGTGACAACATCATGTGTTTCATTCTCAGAAAGTAGAATGGCTTTATTGGCATTAGCCCCTTTCCTCTCCTAAAACAAACCCACAGTTTTTACTATTTATTTCACTAGATCTTTTATAAATAATAACCATGAAATAATTCTGTTAAGCTGTATAGTAGTATTCTGTTAAATGGGGGTGGAGGAGATTTCCTGATATTCCAGAAAGGAACTCTAAGGAGGTTACTGTTGACTTTTTTTTTTGACTTTTTTTTTTTTTTTGCTATTGATATTTAAATAGTGGTAATTTGTAAACAATTTCAGATTTTCTAACTAAACAGCCCATGTATAGAGCAAAGGCTTGGGATTACTTTATTTGTATATATGCCTTAAAAACTAAAAAGCTTTATGTTTTTGGTTTGGGGTTGATTGCAGAGATTTTCAGCATTCACTGACTAGGCTAACAACTGTGGGTGTCAGAGACTTCTGGTGGTCTGCAGAGAGACACAGTCATACCCATCTCCTCTGAATGCTTCACATTTTCACCTGAGCCCTTGCCCATTCAGGTTTTAGCTAAAATTTTAGCTTCCAGACTTTCCATTAAAGATGTATTGGGTTCCACTGTCTCTGCCAAATAATTGAGAATTCATTGCCCATACATACTTTGTCAGCAAGGAAGGGCTAGGTAGTCACAGCAAAGTATGCATGATTTTCATGGGAGGACTGAGACCTCCACTGCCTAGGAATATTCAACAGCTCTTTCTTGGGGCACTTTTTAAAGATACCAAATCTAGACAAGTCATTGAAATAAATAAGGATGTTAGTAGTTTGTATTCAAAGGTTATGTTGTTTAATGAGAAGACTATCAGGAAGTATCTGTGTTTTTTAATATACAGGTGAATTGTGTGGGTGGGCAATAGGATATGAACTGAAAGATTGGATTAGATTTCAAAATAACATAGAAGTTTGGAGATGTGGACTTGGAAAATTGGGTGGGATTTGATAAGAATTTATAGAAAAATGCTATAAATAGGCAGGATTAACTAATTGCAGTAAATACAAGATGGAAAATGTAATGATTAAGCACCAATTCTTCAGATGAAAAATACAGTGGGTCAGGATTTGACCATGAGTCAACACTCTAGCAAAAAAAAAAAAAAAAAAAAAAAAAAAAAAAAGACAATACAGGTATCTAGCTTCCCAGGTGCATCAGGCAATCCTACTGAGTATTGACAAAGGCACAGCTGAAATATTGCCAAAGTAATAATAGTTGTTAGTACAGTTCAAGAAAGAGGAGGATCAGCTGGAGGGGCTTGAGAGGAAAACGCGAAGAATATGATCAGAGTATAAGAAAATACAACCTATGTGGAAAAGTTGAAAGAATTGGGATGACTGAGCTGTATAGGATAAAGCAATAGGAGAAAGCAGGTTTATGTGCCAAATAATCATCAGCTGCGTTAAAGCCTAATGTAGAGAAGGTTTTATTTGCTTCCTGTGATATGTTGAAGAGGATTTGTGAACATAAAGAAAGAAAGATTCAGATCAGATATTGGGAAAGACTTTCTAACAGGGAATGTAGAGCACTTGGTGGTGGGGTGGAAATAGAGATATCTGAAAAGAAGCTACATAACGGGAGAGACTCCATGCAACTCCAGGTAAAGGTGTTAAGATATTTTGTCTCGGAGAAGAAAATAATTTAGGTGACCTCTTTATGGTTCTTCCAGTTCTGTGTTTTTCCTCTGTAGTGGGTTTTGTTCCAAGTTAATGCAACTTTTCATGTCTTAAGGTGGAATAAGAGAACGAGGCTGGTTCCCTAGGAAATGTGTGGAAAAATGCCAATATGACTCTGAAATGGATCAACCAATGGATGGAGAGAAGAAAACCAGATAGCCTTCTATTTCTTTTTTTTTAAGTGATGGAAATTTTATCTTTATACCACAATCCTTTACTTGAAACTTTCTGTATATTACTTTACACTTAGACAACGAATATGTTAAGACAGGGTTTTCTTTTTGTCGCAGCTGAAAGGGTTGGATATATCTGTGCCATGATTTGCATACTTTTTCAACAATAAATAATTGAAGAAGCCATTCAGTGGATTGCCTTCAAGATGCAACTTTTTTTCATCCCAAATCAAGTTTCTTTTTGCTGTTTAAATTTCACTTTATCATATACCAAAATCATATTTTAGTCTTTCCACAACAGCATCAGACTGTGATATGTGCTATTTATCTTTCGTATTTTACTTTCTCTGAAGTTGCCCCTAAAAACGATAAAATAAACCTCTAATTCAAGTTCACAATAAGATTTGTTACCTGTGACTTTTAATGATGTGACTTGTCCACTTCAAATAAATGATACACATTCATATTCACTTGTGGATTTGATTGTTCATAGAGCTACAATAACTTTTTTTAGGCATGGAAATGTGAACAGAGTGGGAAATAAAGAATTTACTGTGCTAAGTTTTTCTAAAGGCAGAAAGAATTCAGCTCTTGTTCCAAAAATGGTGCTCTCAATGCCAGAGAGTTGTAGCCAGATACGTCTCTGCTCCCTTTGAAATCTGATCACAGATTTGAGAGACTAAAGATCTTGGTCACGATCTATCTTAGAGTCAAAGACAGCAATAGACCCAAGACTGAAAACTTCTGTTAGATAGGCCCCAAAAAGTGATTAACACCTTTCCTAAATTATTTTTATTTGACATCTGACATGGATCAGTAAGTAGAAGTCTTTAATACAGTTCTGTGTATAAACTGATAACTTCCTAAAATAATCCTTTCAAATGCTGCAGGTGCTCTTGGTCTCTCTATTAGGCTAATTGAATATCATATGTTAAGAGTTCTTGCCACTGATTTGTTTGAAAAATGCCTTACATCTGGGAGCATGCCTAAGAGATTTGCCTCAGAAGCACACGTACAAGCTGAAAGGAACGCTGAAGTACATGCATTATTTTTGCCATACTTTTGTCTTGTTTAACCATTCCAGTTTTTCTGAAGCAACAGCTACAGTCTTACCTCTCCTGTGTTTTGTAGCATACACCACTGAAGTCTATAAGTAGCAGCACCTGGGTATATAGCCTTTAAAGGCCTTGAAGAAGGAGGACAAGCTCTTTTTTCAGGGCAGCTGTACCACAGCATGAAATGTTAAGAGAGACCATCTCTACAAAACTCATTTTTAATGCTAGTAGAAAACTTTTTCTTCTCTGTCAGTCTGTATTTTTCTTTTCTCCCATCCCCCTCCCTGCTTTTCTTGGAGAAACTGCTTAGCTCATTAAGGAAAGAAGCAGGTTGATTTGACATAGCTGGTCTTTGTTGCACAACGATTCATCAGGGCATTCTGTTTATATTTTCTTTTAGGTTGTTCAAGTCACAAGAGAAGCCAGGCCACAATGCAGTAGGAAGCAAGTGTCATTTTCACACAGTAATTAGGTCTATTAAATTACATCTTTTGCCTTTCCCTGAGGGAAGAATTGCTCTTTGTACTTAAAACCCCATCTTTTCCATCTTCTGACAGTAAGTCTTGACTTGCAGTGTTAAGAGAGGACTAGCTCAGGCTCCAAGAGGCTGAAAAGTAAAGGTACCTGCATGCTGAATTTGAACTTTCTCTCCTTTTTAAAGAAAAAGAAGGAAAAAGGCTAACAAGAATTAGCCTTTTGCTTGTCATACAGATGGGTTTTGCACCAAATGAAACTGAATCTGATGTAGATAAGGGGTAGAGGGGGAAAACACAATACTGATTACTGTAAATAGACACCTCCGTCTTTCTGTGCAGCCACTCAATCAACAAGAATTTCACTTTCTACTGGTCTGCCCTAGATTTGGCCTCCAAAACCTGAGAAGTTGCTGCTTGGCCAAGCCAGTGACACTGCCAACTCCTTCAGCTCTTAGAAGCATTAAATTGTTACAGTTGGAAAAGACCTTCAAGAACATGAAGTCAAACTGTAAATCCATCACCCCCCTGCCTGCTAAACCCTGTCCTGAGTACCTCATCTACACGTTTCATTAAAACTGCCAGGCATGGTAACTCCACCACTTCCCTGGGCAGCCTGTTTCAATGCTTCACCACTCTTTCTATCCGGAATGTTCTTTTTCCTAACATCTAATCTGAATCTCACCTACGACAACTTGAGGAAGTAGCCAGATTACCATACAAGACTGTCCAAAAGGCCAGCCTTGGCATCCTCTTGTTTGGAAGCTCTGAGGTGGTCACTATTAGAAGAAGAAATAGGTGATAGAAGGTTTCTCTCCTTCCTTATCCAAAAGGTTTCTGATATTAATTCAAATCTGTTAAGAATTAAGCAAGTTGTAAGCTCCTGCTAGAGTTGAAACGTCCCCTGTAGAGTTGAGGCGCACATTGCAAAGCATCCATCAGGAGAAAATGTTAAAATCCTCAGGCCAGGAAGCCTAGATGTGTGGGTTATTTAGTTTTTGCAATTGAGTTTCTTAACTACTGCATTAGAGACTGTTTCCAGAGCTTCTTTGAGAGCACTGATTTAAATAATTTCATTAAAGATGAATTAAGACTCAGTACTTCCTTCCAAGCACATCCTCTCTGGATTGGGAGCATAAGAGAATAACCAGAAATTAAATTGCAGGAGTCGTACTATATAGATGGAAAGAAAATTATTTAAATTTTTATCTCGGGCACAGTTCTTATGCTTTGGAGAGTAATTCAGGCAATCTAATTTTTGATATGGTACATAAGGGAGCTATTTCCAATTTGTTAAGGAAGTTATCACCATTCATGTTAAATGCATGTGTCTTAGATGAATAATCTTGATAGACACTAATTAATCAGTTAGCTTGCACATCTGTACTGCTGCCCAAATGGATCATCTCATAATGGACAACTGTTGGATTAGTCTAAAGTAGAAAAACCGATTTGATCTAAGCTCCCATCCTCTATCATAGGAAAAGAGTTGCAGAGATCTGAACTTCATACTACATACAGTCATCCTTATCTCAGATCTTTACTCACTTCATTTAGCGGTCTTTCAATCTTGCTGTAGCTTTCTCCAGTTCTCAGGGAGTATCCAGACATCATTTTTCTACTATTTCTTTGCATCCTGC